CCGAGCCGGGAACTGCTGCGCTCGCTGCTCCTCGCTTTGAGTGGGGTGTTGTTTCAGTTCCTCTGCCACCTGAGAGAAATGTAGCATTCTGGTACCTTTGTGCGGCCTCATCTTAAATACTGTGTGCAGTTTCGGGCACCGCAATGTAAGAAAGATATTAAGTTGTTAAAGAGCGTCCAAAGGAGGGCAACGAAGATGGTGAAGGGCCTTTGAGAGGAAGCCGTGTGAGGAGCGCTGAGGGCACTCGGTCTGTTCAGCCTCATCACAGTCTACAACTTCCTTGTGAGGGGCGGGCATTGATCCCGTTTTTCTGACAACCAGTAAAAGACCCGAGGGAATGGCCTGAACTTGTGTCAGAGGAGGTTTAGGTTAGATTATCAGGAAAAGATTTCTCACCCAGAGGGTGGTTGGGCACTGGAACAGGCTCCCCAGGGAAGTAGTCACAGCACCAAGCCAGACAGAGCTCAAGAAGCGTTTAGATGATACTCTCAGGCATGTGGTGTGATTCTTGTGTCTGGTCCTGTGTAGGGTTAAGGGTTGAATGATTCTTATGGACCCCTTCCAACTCAATATTCTGCGATTCTGACAGAATGGTGGTTTGTAAAAGGAAGTAATCTGTGGGGACAATTACCAAACAAGCAACCACCTTGCAGACCTCAGCATGCGAGATCCCCACGGGTGTGCTGGCCTGTACCGCAGCGGGGCATGCCCTTTGGGCAAGGTTATTGCCCACCCTCCACAGGGAGAGCCTTGGGCTCATAACACCGACAGACAGGGACAGTCTGAATGTCCCTGCCTGCCTGATGATCCGCCTTGCTCAACAGCTGTCTGAAGCTGAGGGCTGGTTTTGGCTTCATCATCAACTTTCAGGTCAGTTTCATATTTGTACAGTGACCTTCGCTAGCAGACGTCAGAGTAAGATAACATCGGAAACTGCTATTCCAGCTTCTCACAACAGGTACTAACCTACTTTTTGAGGTCTTACATACCTGGTCTAATACAGAGTTTTACACAGAATTCCTCAAATCTTAATTTGAAGAACAAATTGCATACTGGAACAGATTGCCTAGAGAGGTTGTGGAGTCTCCCTCGCTGGAGATATTCAAGAACCGTCTGGACACATCCTGTGCTTAAGTGGGGGGGTTGGACCAGATGACCCACTGTGGTTCTTTCCAGCCTGACCCATTCTGTGATTCTGTGATTGTACAGGCCGCTTCCTCTCTTAGGAGGGCAAGATGAAAATTTGATGCTCCTTGTTGTTGTTGAGGGAAGATGAGTAGTGTTTGTCAGCTCAGCATAAGGATAACTCAGCTAATTTTCACTAACATTAAGAAATTTAACAGTAGGGGCATCATTATTTATTATGTTCTTCTAAGGCTGGAATCAGTAGCTGGGGGAAAATCTCATGGATTTATTTGTGTCAAGGACCATGAATTTTGCCACAGAGCTATGTTGCATGATACACACCGGCCAGGAAGCAACTGTAATCACGTTATTTTGAGTAGCAACTGATTTGCATGTGTCAGCTTCAGTTCTCAGCAGGTGTGGATAGTGTGTTTTATCATAATCGTTACAGATTTTTGAGTGTTTTTTTTAAAACATTTTTAAAACCATTTCAGAAATCCCTCATGCTACAGGGGAAAGACAAACATAGAAGCATGATTTCATCGTATGTGTCCCTACATTTTAGTAAAAAATAAATAAATGCAACCACCAAACCAAAAATATCTCAAACCAGCCATATAACTGGGTGTAAAAATACAGGATATCCACTGTGCTCAGCAGTAACCAGAGAAGTAGTCTTCCATCAAACAGGGAAACTGAAATGGCAAGTTCTTGAAGTCATCTCTCAGGAGACATTTTCCCAGGCTCTCCATGCAGTCATCCTGTTCAGTTAATAACGCTGAAGTCCAACCGTTGGTTACAAAATTTCTCTCTGTTAAGTTAAATAAAAATAAGTTCTCCCCTTACTTCTGGTAGGACAGAAGAGAGGAAGATGAAGTGGGAATTCCCTAGTGAATTCAGAAGGTTAGTCTGTGTGTGTAATCTGTACATGCTGTAAATGGGTGTGCTGTGTTAGATATAGTTCATGCAGGAACTGAAGTTACCTGGAAAAGACCTGACATGTTGGACTGCTGAGAATCTGAGAGTGTTTGGACTTGCAAAGAACAGTGATAGGTTTAAGTTTTTAAGTAAGGATCGTCAACCTTCTCCCAGGTTCAGATATCCTCCCAGCTGTGTTTCTCCAAAAATATCGCCTGATATAACTAGAAATTTTAAGATGAGTAGAGAACTATAGAAATTCTCTTTCACTTTCCTTCTTCAATGGTCACCTTGTGGAAAAGTGCTGATGTAGGGAATGTCCTTTGCACTCAGTTAATTTACAACAGTTAATTTAACTCAGTTAATTTAAAACAGTTAATTTACAACAACATGAAAATGAAACTGAGGGTTTTGCCAGCGCTTCTGAGAAATACTGATTGCTGTCTATAATTTAACTTTTCATTCCCCGGGAAGAAACTAATTGCACAAAAAGGGAGTGGAGAAAGTGCATAGGTCAGAAGACTGACAAGGTCTATAGAGATAATGTTTGACCCCTGTTGGAGAAAAAACATTCTGTTATTTAGACTTGACATAGGCACTAAACTATCAAAACACAGGCAGGCTTAGAGGTACAGTGGGCAGAAATGTAAGTGTCCAGGAACTTTTGCTGTGGAAAACTTAGAGGGGGAATTCAGAGGATATAAAATCTGGCCTTCGGGGCCCCACAAGAATATTTAAATACTTAAGACTCACCTTGTGGATCCAAGTTGTTAAAGGTTTGAATACTTTTGAGTACAGTCAGTTTCATTTTTGTCTTTCATTGCATCTGGTAGGTTGTTATGACAACCAAGTGGTTATGCTGGGCAAAACAAAAAGGTTCCCTTTCGTGCTTGTTCCTTCTTGCCCCTCTTCCCCTGTTTCCCCGTTTCTTAGCAATGCTTTGTCCTGATTTGCAGGTGTTCAACTTACAGATATTTGTACATATGTGTGTTTGTGCTATACTACACTGCTCTGTAGCATTTGTATTACTTTATGGAACTAGGAGTTTAAAGGTTACAAGATAAGCAAGTGTTACTGTAGGGTGCTATTTCTTGAAAAGAGATAAGGTTGCTATCTTAAGACTGGGAGAAAGTACATGAGATTTTAAAGTAGGTGAAAGTATCACTGATAGGTAGCAAAGGTCAGCATCGGAGAATGGAGTCTTCATTTTAGATTTCAGTTCTTTTGCTTTGAGATATGAAGCTCAGAGCTAGAGTCACTGAAATCTTAATTCTTCTGAGGAACTCAAGTGCTGTTCTACCCATACAAATTAATGACCTCATTTGTCTCCCCAGTCATAAAGCAGAAATAATACTATTTTTTCACTCATTACTGATGTTGTGTGGCTAGTTGGCAGAGTTTGTATACTTTTTGATGAGGAGTGCAACACCATTCTGTAGGGAGAAAGGAAACTTCCTAGGCCTTCCCTCATTGTGATTGTTCTATTGTGTTTATCTTTGATAGTGTTAATATGAAGCTCTTGTACTTCCAAAGCAGTGTGGATAGATTTAATTAAAATGAGTATCATAGCAAGGTTGGGTGTTGATTTGAATATTGGCTACTCCCAGTTAATTGATAAATTACATTCAACAAAACAAGAATCAAAAGCAGCAATGATTAAAATTAAAATTGCCTTGCAAACAGAAATTGATACTAATTGGCTATTTGTAATTGCTTTAGGAGAAATGAAGAGAAAATGGGAAGAAAGACTGAAGAAAGTGGAAGAACTAGCATCCTACTATGAAAGAAACCCTCTTCCTACAGTTTATAGACCAAGACTGTCCAAACCCTTTCAGCCATCCTCTGTTTGGAAAATATTTTCTCGACAGGCCGAAGCTTTTAATTATGTAAAAACCTGCAAAGAGGTATATTACGTGTTAGGTGAATGTCTCTAGTCTTTATGTACTTTCAAGGCTGAACATCACTTAAAATCTTGGTTGACAATGAAGTCTTTATCAGATTGCAAGATCAGGTTTCTTTCTTCCCAATCCTGAAACAGCAAGTTTGTTTTTTTTGTCTTTGTAGGAGATCATGTTGCACTGCAGGTATCTCTAAGAAGGACTAGTTCTAATTCTAACATACATCTATCATACTAATATGTGATGTTAACATCTAACAGTAAAGTGCTTTTTGGTAACATTGTAATGCTAGATTTCTTCCTCCTGAAGATAAGCAAGCTGCCAGGGTTGGAAGGAGAAAGGGAAGGTAGTGAGAACTGAGCGGGAGGAAAGAGGAGGAAGAAAAAGAGAGAAACAGGAAACAGAAAAAAAAAACAATACAACTCTCCAGTGGCATCAGCGTAGCAAGTTCAGATGATAAGAAGTGATGAATCAAATAAATATTATGCAAAAGTATCTTCTGTTTTCAGTTTAATACTTTTCAAATTGATTGGTCTTTTTAAAGAAAGTACTGTGTTTTTCTCCACGCTGTTTTAGGTGTTTAGGTAGTCTTGACAGTTTGTTTCCCAAAATGGATTCTCGCTGGCTTGGCAGTAGTTTTTTTGGGGGGGTTTCTTCTCAGATTTCTATTTTTTAATTTGAATAACATAATGTCTGAAAAATATTTGCCATAAAGACATATGCTGCCATCATGTCCATGAGGCTGATCCTTTGAGGACATTATTCCTCCTCCTGTTAGATGCACTTGCCACTGACCAGACAAAAGAAGACTTTACAGAGAAAGCAGAGGTTATGTTCATGCTCAGCAAAGAAAGGCTTCACATTTTCACCTTTGTAACTTATATCAGAATGATGTTCTACATTAAAACCAGGTGCTACTTAGCTTGAAAAAGGATAAGTGATCTGCTTGTAGTTCTCTGGTCCTTACTAGCCTTTGATTAATGTCAAATAGGAAGAGTTTAAATGGTTCTATGCATAAAACCAAAACAAAAAACCTTCAATGTTTTTATTTAAAAAGGATGTTCATGTATTTGCTTTGGAAAAGAATACACGGAGTGGACAGAGGTTTTACCTTGTGACATCATATAAAGAGCTTTGGTTTTATTACACGTGAGTATGGGAAAAGGTACCCCTGTATGTTGCTAAAAGTAGTATATTGGATATCCCATTACCCAGTAAGAGCTGTGACTGGATAGCCATCCCCAGGAGCTGCCTGCTGCTCTGACGAGAACAGAGCTGTAATCGGTTGCCTGAGGTTTCATCTTGGCCATGGGAAAAATGATGTAGTTTCAAGTACTGACTACTTGATCATGTGCTGAACTTTTTTCCCCATTTGGCTGTTTTATAATAAGACATTTGGTTATGAAGTAAAAGAAATCTGAGTCAGTTTTTTTTAATTTTCTTTTCTCAATTTGAAAATGAGATTATTTTTTAATTTAATTTGAAAAAAACTCTGTATAATCTCATTGTTCGTGTTTAAAACATATGTGTGAAAACTTCAGTTTTTTGCTGTATTTTTCATAGTTCTTTAAATGCTCAACAGCCTTTCTGTATGCGTTGTAAGACTTGTGGGGGCACGGGGAGGAGAATATTCACAAAATTAAATTCTAGGCCAGACAAATAATCTTTGTTGATATTTGATGCTGAAGTTTGTTACAATTTTTTTCAAAGCATTATAGGGCTGCTACATTTTTTAATATGGGTGGTTGGTTGAAAAATAAAAAAAAAATATTTAGGACTTGTGGGATCCTTGTTTGCAACTGAAAAGTATGTATAATGTCTATTTGTGATTTGTTTTTATTTATCCTTAGCAAAGGTTACAAAACAAGTCTTATGCATTGCTATGAAGTAATTCCTGAAAAAGATGCTTGCAAACTTTATTTTGATTTGGAGTTCTACAAACCAGCAAATCCTGGTGCAGATGGCAAGAGTATGGTTGCAAAGCTAATTGAGGTAAAGTGGATCAAAGTCGTGTTGCAGATTAATATGAATTTCTTGTTGATTTAATATGAAAAAAAGGATTTAACACTTTATCTTGATTATGCTATAGTAAAATTAAAAAATTGTAGACTTACTGGTTATTTTTAATTAAGTAAAAATACTGTTTTAATTAGAGCAAAGGTTCTCTTCTTTAAGTGAAAATAAAAAATAAAGAATGATGGTTGTTGGAATGTTTGTATTCTCTGTAGGTTTATTGGTAAGTTTACTTTTGGAGATTGTTTTATGTCCTCTGCCACTTCAAAGCTGTAAAACTGAAGGAATGTTTAGGTATTCTTTAAAGTAGCATCAATAGAAGTTCCATTCAGATATTCCTGAGTTCATTCCCTTTGCCATATGAGTGTATATCAAAGTTTAAATAAATCCCTCCTGACTGTAAGGTTCTTTAGACAACAGTTCATTATAGTTGAGTTAAATGATGATGCAGAGAACATCATGTGACTGCACTTATCAGTTTGGTACCTAAATTTGAATATCTTTTGTAAGACTTCTGTCACCTACTTTTGTACCTACGTTACAAATATTGTCAGTGTAGGTGTGAACTGCTTTGTGGTGGAAAAAACGCTAGATGATAAAGCCACTAAATTAGACTTTGACCTGAAAGACTGAAAGTCAGCTCAGATTATCACTGGTAGTACAGTCAGTGACTTGCACATTTATGTAAATATGGTCTGTGTCAAATTTGGTTAAAACTTGATATGAGTTAGTCTGAATTAACTTAATTGTAGGCTTAAAATAAAAAAAAAGCCCAAAAAGAAACCTTGAAAAAAAATGTAGAATCTGCATTTGTGTTAGGTTGTATAGATACCACTACTAAAAATGCTAGAGAAAATAACGTAATTAATGTTTATGATTTCAGCTTGTCAGCCAAAAATTAAAAGAACTTTATGATGTAAATTGTTCAACTAAAGATGTCTTGAATTTAGATTCCAGTACTGATGAAAAATTTAGTCGGCACTTAATATTTCTACCCCAAAAGACTGTATTTAAGGATAATATTCACGTTGGTAAGTGCGTTCTTTTCTCTTACACTTAGAAATAAAAGATGAGGTTTTGACTTTGTGCAGTGCCCTCTCACATTTGAATATTTATTTTAATGGAATTATATGTGGAAACAAATATGTAATCCCAGCAGAAATTACTATCAGTGTCATCAAGCCTCGTTTCTTCTCATCTTCTACTTCCTTTTCCTATAATTAGCATGTATCTTTTATTTATAAAAGTATGGACAAGACTGACTTCTGTGAAACTGGCGAGTCTATGACTCCTTAACTTGCAGGTTAATGTCAGTCTTAATAATTCAAGCTACTGTTATTTGCTCTAAACACAGCTCATTTGTGCTCAGCACGGGGTCAGAAAGGCAGGACAAAGGTGATTTCAGGCCACCTGTGCATAAGCATGATTAAGAGGAAGCTGAAAGCAATTTTAATTGTTGATTGTAAGCTGGGTTTTCCTGGGATATGGCAACTCCCAACAAAAAGAGTTGCCAGATCAGGGTTGTCTTGACTCCATTTTTAGCGTAAGTATAATAATACCTCCTCACTTAACAGAAGTATTTTGAATATGCTTTTAAAATACTGCCTGTGAAGCACTGAAGTGCTAGCAGTGAACATTAAGAAAAGTTAATGTTGAAATTCATTATTTCTTCTTCTTTTATGTTTATTCTCTGTGGTGTGCAGTGAAGCAGTCTTATAGACATACTTTGACCAATGAGGGCACAGTAGAATATTTGCAAAATTTTGTCTGAGTGAAGGGGGAACTCATGGAAAACAGCTTGCCCAGTGGTGCAATTAAAATTAACATTGCACCTGCAACCTTGGGTTTGTAATATCTTAATATTTGAGTGTTTATTTTTGTAAACTTTGTTCCTTATTGGGTTTTTTTCAAATAAACAAAAATGGTGAGGGAAAAGAAGCAGAAATGCTGTTCTACACAGATTAATATCTCAGGGGTTATTAGAAGGGATGAGATTTGTGACATTTAGCTCTACTGTTTGTGTTCAGGAAGAACTGTGACAACAGCAGTAGGATTACAAGATGTTATGTGTATTGTTACTGGGTTTCCCCCAGCAATAGAATAGGAAGGGTTCAGGGTGTTTTGTTCAAAATTTTGATCCCACTCAGTTTCCCACTTTTATTCTGCTGTCTGCTTGTCACAATCTGTCTGTCTTCATGCCCAGTCCTCACTTTCTCACCCTTACCTCTTTCTCTAGCTCTGCACCCTCCTTCATTTCAGTCTTGAGTAAAGTCTATACCGTATTTCTTAATTTTTAATGCCTCCTGTGTTTTTTAAGTGGATTCTTACTGGGCACTGGGTATGACCTAGCAGGGTCTTGTAGAGAGCACAGGGAAGATGAGCTCTTTGCTTTTCGTACTTCATGACTGCACAGCAATGCTGTTATTAATGACAAAGTGCTGGCCTTCTGCCTAGCCCAGCACAGCATTAGGGAAAATCTTATTTTCCTTTTGAATTTATCTAGTTATTTCATGGGGAGAACACACATACTCCTGGATTGAAGTGGTATAGGGTTGACACATTTTGTGTTGTTCTGAGGAATCATTTATGGAAGGTCTTGTCAGCATGAACATCTGGAGGAATAGAGCAGACTGTAAGGACAGGATGGATATTGTAAGCCTGCACTTACATATGAATTTTTTTCCCAAGTATTTTTAGTATAAGCGTGTGGTCCATGGCCTAAGCACCACTTCGGGCCAAAATTCAGGTCCTAACTCTAACACAAAGAGGACAGGGTATTTCCAGAACTGAGGAATTTTTTTTTCCAGCTTTTTTTAACATTAAAAAAAACCCAATTTCTCATTCTCAGGAGTAGTGGAATCTGTGTCCCTAAATCTTTTGAGGAGTAGCTCGAGGAAAGCCAAGCAGATTGTCTTGGTTATAAGCAAATGAATACTGCCTGTACTATTGGCTGCCAGCTCCAAGCGTGACACAGAGCAGTTATTTCTCACTTGAACCATGGTAGGAGTTACAAATCCTGAAGACTTAACTGAGAGTACTGCAATTTTCAGTTCAGAAGTATGGCCTTTTAACTCCTCTGCCAGTATAAACACCTAAGTAATACATGGATGATGAATAATATGGTATGACAGCAATTTTAGCCTCTGATCTTGATAGCTAAATTACATCAGTCAGTTCTTTCAGTAGAAGCTTGAATTGTTTATTCTGGCCCATTGGTTTAAATGTTCTGTGTCTCCACTGTGACGTGAATTTGACCTGTTTACAAACTGCCAGACTTAAAAATACATTTTTAGCTTGTGTATTCATACTCTGCCTTTGCCTTTACAGCAAGATATTGAAGTCACAGTAGAAATCAAATTTTTATAACTGAGATATATAAATGTCAGTGTTAAATTCATGCATGCTGCCAATAATATTATACTGGAGAGTTTTCATTAATGCATTTTAGTAACCTGCGTAACAAACTTGTGCTAAAGTGTGTTAGCTTTGTACTTTGTGCAAAATGCTCTGCTGTAGTAAATGACTAAAAATGCAGATAACTACATAAAGTAATTTCCCAGAATCTGTATGAAAAAAAATATATTTTTTATGTGATGGAAAGGTTTTTGTATAATATTAAACTTGAAAGGGTTAATACATTTTTCAGACATATGCCTATATATATATATATTTCACACATTTTCTTATATTCAGCTCTGTGGTATTCTGCCTCATGCAAAAAATTCTTTAAGATGAGTTAGTGGTATTTGTGTGGGATAAACTAGAATAAGAAATATCACATCTTGGATGATATTGTTTCATAAGCATTTTATGTCAGGAGTCATGCACAAAGTGCATGGACTTAAAATTAAATATGATTTAAAACTTCTGGTATATAATATTGGGAATTAGTTACTAGCTAGAATTAAAATACAGGGGCTGAGTTCATAGCTCATGTAAGAGAGAGGTCATGTATGTCCATAGGAAAGCTGTGGAGATCAATGAATTTGCATTGCTCAGCTCAGATAACAGATTCCACATACAAAAAAATACAGTCAAGGATCAAAAGTATGAAATGCAGGCTTTGTTTCCCACATCTGACCAGTTAGAAGGCATTGGAAGAGAGAAAACAAAGGCGTGTGTGAATGATAAAGAACTAAATCTTTCACCGACAGAACCCTCGCTATTCTGACACCAGTGATTGTTACTCAGCTACAGACACAAAAAAGTGAAGTAGTCAGCCAGGATTTCTACAGATACTCTAATTTTTATGGCAATTGAAATAAATTTCAGTTCTGAAACAGGTCCATTTTCTCCCTGAACCGAAGATCCAAGTAACTGTTGTTTTAAAACTAAGACTTGCTCTGTGTGTATTTGGACACACAGGGTTAAAATGCTGTCTGTGACTGTGACTCATTTGTGTGCCTCAGTAGTCCTGTAACTAATTATGAGGATAATGATGACACCGATGCTTGATATGCTGAGTCATTCTGTTGATAGCATAGGAAGACTTATATTTCATGTTCTTTCATTTTCCCCACTGAAGGTTCATCCAGCAACTGCAGAATTCTCCTTGCCAGTATTCCTTTGACTTCGTAGTTTTTTTCCCCCATCTGTATTTATTCTTTGCTCCGCTTTCTGCCTGGAAGTAACATGGCCATGGTTTTTATTTGTTTGTCTTTGGTTGCCATCTAGCAGAGCCTGGAGGCACAATGGATTTGAATTACAATACTGGGAGTTTGAAAAGTCATTACAAAATACTTTTGTAAAAATAATTTGTTCTTTGAGTAAGCTTTGATCAAACTCTTAGATCAATGAACGCGCTATAAAGCTACAACTAAACATTTTCAATCATTCTGGAAATGATATTAGGGAAAGCAGTAGTGAGAGGGAGAATCACAAGTTTTTCAGAATCCTAAATTTGAGCTTGTTCATGTGTTTGGGGTTTTTTTAAGAGGTTTAGTACAAATTCTTGCCAAGCATCGTTTTCTCATTACTGGCCAGAACCATTTTGTACAGTGTGCTGATCAAAAGGCTTTTTTAAAAATGCAGAAGGGGCTAAAAGAGACTCCGAACTCCAACCACTTCCATCTTGGCTATTTTAAGGAATGTTTGCACAGAAACTCTCTTTCTTGACTCATAAATGACATTGTCTGCTCTTGTCCTTTTCTGTTTGTTTTTAAGGTAACTTTGTGAGAACCATTTTGCAGCCTGCCATAAGATTAATGGAGAGCAAGGCTGCTGCTGCTGCTGCTGTGATTCCAGAAGAAGCAGCAAGACATGTTTTCCAGTCTTCTGCAGAAGCAGTTGGATTAGATGGTTCTCTAACAAACCTCGCAGATGCTTCCAAAGGCTGGCCAGACATTGCTTTCAAAACAAAGGACACAGAAATGTCACACCAGGGAGAAAATTCGGATTTTTCCTTTCTAATAGTAAATGATAAAGAAGGCAACAAGCAACTTTTCGTGGATCTAGGTAAATATTAGTGCTTTTAAACTTCTTCGGGATGCAACAAAGGTTAAGAAATGAGATGTTTCCTAATCTTCTATTACAGACAGTAAGAACAGTGGTGTTCTCACTGTTGTCCCTATGGTCAGAATTTAAATGAAATACAATTCATGCTGAAACTGTGATCATAAGTGTTATCCTTTAAAGCAACCTTAGATTCTTGGTCCATGGAACTTCTTATATTACTACATTTAATTTTTTTTTTCTGAAATTTGAAGAAATTCTTGCCACACAAGACTCTCTAATTATTTTTTTTTCACCTAATACTTAATGCTCCCATTTGAATTAAAAGAGGATAGCATATATTGCATTTTTTTGTTATTTCATTTGAATTAGAAGCTGCCTAGTTATGGAATAAGTCTTACAGGCATGGCCTTCTGAATTGTTCTACGTGTATGAATTGAGCCTTCTTTCCCTGTTTGGAATGGCAGCTGTTAGGTTCCAGTGATGGAATAACAGAAATTTTGGGTTGGGCACTTCATGGCCCAGCTGGGCTTAGCCTGTTCGTGGTATTAAAATGTTACTAATCTCCAGGAGCACAACACCCACAATCAAACTAAACTTTGAAAGTTCCTCCCTTTTTCATTCCCATATCTGTTTTTTCTGCTTTCTGCCTTGTCTAGTGAAATGAAAACAGCTCAGCACGCTTTTGCACGGCAATGTGTTATGTACTTCAAGACTTTACCGTCTTTTTTTTCTCAGACTCCTCTGAAGAACCCTCATTCCTTCAGATTCTTCTGGAGGAATTCAGGATCCCTTTTATTGCAGGCCTCCTCAGTATGTCTGATCTACTGAAACGTAATCCCAGAGTGGGCCCTACAGTAGGCTTCTCCGTTACTAATTCAGAAGGATTTACTTTCAAATACTTTTCAAAATTCCTTCAAGCATATTCATACCTAGAAGTCAAATAAAACCATATTTTTTGACTGTGTCACCCTCTAAGAATTATGATGGTAATTGTGCAGCTTCTTGTCCTCAGTTGTATTTCACAAAATTAATGTGAAATCATGGGTTTCTTATACTGAAGTGAAACTTTTAGCAATTATAATGTCAGAATCATTAAGATGCCTGTGTAGGGGTGTTGAGTGTTTGTCTTAGTTCTTCTATGACATAAAAATGTACGTGCGTCATGACCTTGCTTTGTTGCATTTCAGCTATGGGGTGAGAGCTGTAGTTAGTATTCGTCCATTCATGAGATTCTTAGTTGGGTCTAAGGAAAATTGTTTAATTTACAAGTGCTAAGTACCCTAAATCCTAGCCAGCATTGTTATGTTATGAAATATTTGTTTTCCTCTAGGAGTTTATACAAAGAATAGAAACTTCCGGATGTATAAATCATCAAAAGCAGGAAAAAATGTGATTCTGAAGATAGCAGAGGATAATAAGTTTATCCCTAGCTGTGAAAAGGATGTTTCCTTGGAAGAAGCATATTTTCTTTCCTCTTTAATCTGCAACATTAGGTAATCATATAAGATAATTTAAAAGATAATTTTCCTTCAGCAGTTACAAATACCTACTTCAAATGAGCAGTTATTCCATTGACATTGTTAAGGTGTAATTTTGGAGTTCCTAGTAGAATTTCTTGTTTTTGAAGAAAAAACAAGAACAAAATTCCTGAGAGTCTTGGTTTTTGGTTTGTGGGTTTTTTTTTTTAACCTACCTTCAAGTGTTTAAAGAACACAGAACTCGTGGCACAGCCCCTGAGCTGTGCCTCATTTCTCTGTACACACTCAAAATGCCAAAACATAACCATTAATAAGTTTGGTCAGATTCTGTATGGCTCTGAAAACAAAAATTCCAGATTTCCACTCAGTTAAATATGAAGAGTCTGAATATTTTTCAAAGTAGGATAAGAAATTAAAAGGATTCCTGTGTTTACTTGCATACCAGATTTGGTGCAAACACCCTCCTTACTTTGGGTACTCGTATGTACAATAATTAACTTTTCTGTATCTAAGCTAAACCTCTGATATATCATACCCTGCACTCTCTGTCTTAAGAAGATCCTAATCATTGCTGCAGCAGAAAGAGGGTTAAAATGGTGTAATATTTTTATTCAAAACATGGATTTGTTCTGACTTCAGGTCTTATAGCCTGAAATATTCATTATCCTGAACTGATGCTGGCAACCCCGTAGCATAAATCATGTAGTGTATTCAGATCATAGGCATCAGCTGAGTCTGTCATAAATACGGCTGAGAAATTCTGCTGTGCTGAATTTAGATTTCTTTGATCATCTGGTTTCCAGCTAGCAACATGGCAAAAAAAAAAAGGGTTCATTTTAGAGAGACAAAAAAAATTGAAACCTTTCAAAGGGTGTATTTACATAAATATGCTGTAGGAGTGTGGACCAGCAGGTCCTTGGACTTCCACCAGGAACCAAATGTTGCTGCTGAGGAGGAGGAACCCCTGCCCTTGGTGCCAGTCAGGGAAGCTGCCAAAGTGAGAAGAGAAAGTGCTCCGGGGATAGGGAATGGTGCACACTGAATCACGGGCTGGCTGAGGTTGGCAGGGACCTCTGGAGGTCTCCTGGACACCCCTTTGTTCCAGCTGGGCCCCCTGGAGCTGGTGGCCCAAGGCTTTGTTGTGTTATGTTGTGCCATACTATGGTAACTCACATGGTACTGTGTTATGCTGTAAGAATCACACATTTTCCTTTGTGTTCTCTCCTTTCTTCAGAGTCAGTGATGACACCAAAGTTCTGTCGTCTGGCTTTTCAGAGGAGGAGAGAAAAATGTCTGCTTTTTTAAACAGTAAAACAACCAGAAGCAGCCAAGGTACCGCAAACCTTATTTACTGTAGAAAAAAAAAAAGTTATCTTTAATTAGATGTACTGCGACTTGTACACCTGATAATCTCTAGGAGGGCTCTTCCTCAGCTCCCCTTCTGCAGGAGGCAGAGCACATCTGTACTGAAGGATGCTCTGCAGCACCTGAGTGCCATTTACCCTCCTCTTGGGGGTGGGAGTAGCAGTTTAAAAGATCCACAAGAATGTGACAGTGGGTTTATCCCTGGTTTCACATTTGAGGGTGTGATGTGATTCCTGTGCATTTTCTGTCTATATAATGTGTAACGTGAGATAATTACATGTTAACAATGGCAAAGCCACTAACAGTGTGTATATGTGGCCTTTGTTTTAACAGATTCCATGGAAGGCTATCAGGGTTCGCCGTATCCAGAAATTGATAATTTTGTTCATTCTTTGGTTAATAAAGATGGGCTACAAGGAGGTAAAGAGACCACTTGACTATTCGCAAATGAGTGTTCTGCATCACTAGTTTTAAACAATTTAAAGAATTTTTTTTTTTTTCCTCAGGGATACGGCAGTGGAATTACTTCTCTCTCAAAGAAATACTTGTATATGATATTTCTGGTTACCGCTGGTGTGAAAATATTGGAAGAGCTCACAAAAGTAACAACATAATGTGTGTTTTTAGTTCAGTTTTAAACAGCTTTTTTTATTTTCCTGCTCAATTGTTATTCTCTGAAGCTGAAAAATCTCTTATGGATAGAATTAGCACCTATTACAATTACTGTTGTCTTGCTCTATGAGGATACAATGCTTCAGTTAAAAAAACCCCACCAAACCCCAAAAAACCCAGACAAAACTAAACTTTTTCACCCAAGTTTGCTTTGCGATAACTGGGCTTGCATTTCTAATAGTTCTACAAAGTAGGTATTCATGGTATTTAAAATATGTGCCTAAAGATGCTAACATAAAAGTCAGGGTATGTTAAAGCTATTAAGCAGTACTATGCATTTATACTTTCCAGCTAAGAAGCTGAAAAATAGAAAAAAAAAGCACACTACTTTTAAAAGTAATTTACAGTGCACCTTAAATGACTCTGTCATTTTAATAATTGAGAATTACCATCTTAGAAGGGTAATTCCTGCTGCCGCTTTAGTCCAGATGAGTTTTGCCAGTGACTCTGCGAGGAGTTGGACTTCTTATAGTTTTAGCAAAATAAGTGATTGAAAAATCAGGTTTTTTTAGATTACATTAGAATTCCAGTATATCATTAGTAAAAATATTTTAACTTAAAAATAATTTTATATAACATTTAAAGTTACTGAAACATAAGGAGTAGGTTTTCGAGAAACAAGGATATTCAAAAAACGCTGCAGCCACCGCGCTAGATGGTGTTTCCCAAGCAAGTTGCTTGAAGTTTGGTGTTTCTAAAGCACAGCTGAAAAAGCTGGATGGCCTAATCGGTTGACAGGAAATAGTGATTTTATGTGGCTTTTATAATGAAATTATCTGTAACAGCAGCAGCAACAAAATCTTATCTTACAGTTAAATCCCGTATGCTAAGCTTATTTTAATGACTGTCTTCCAAGCTTAAGGTAATGAAGTTAACTGAATTTCACTTCCAGATGTTAGTCTTAAAAATTTATTTCTTTTAACTTAAGAAGCCTGAAGTTTATCAGAAATTGGACAAAACATGTAATAATTAATTCATTTCTGAATTCATTTATGAATTCATTATGTGTTAATTAATTTACTTACTGAAAATCCTAAATAATTTCATTCTTAGGATTCTGGTAGATCTGAAGAACGAAGTCTGGTATCAAAAGTGTCATGATCCTGTCTGCAGGGAACAAAACTTCAAATCACAAAGTATGTAGTCTGTGATCTCAAAGCAATTATACCTAACACTTTTTTCGAATGTTGATGTTAATGCCATGTATTTGGTTTAGGTTTTCCATTACCACCTGGAATATGTCTCCTGTCTCTTTTCAAAGAGGTATGTTTTTGTCCTGTCGATACGCTAAGGTTGCTAGAAAAACAGCAAATTTCTACTCCTGCTGAAATGGTCTTCCAGGGGTTAACATGGTTATAAATTAATGTGCTGGAAAATGTTGGCCAGCTTTCTGTAGTATCCATTATGTGTGACAGTACAAGTTTCAAACTTGCAGAGCAGTTAAAGGTATGAAGACCATTTTCATATGGAGTAAGTAGTCCTCTTGTTTCTCAAAGGAAGAAGAGTATACACCGCTGGATGAAAGGGGGAACACAGAAGAAGAAGAGTGGAACCCACATTTTAATGCGTCAGACTTGTCAGAAAGCTCGGTATCTCTGGCAAACAGCTTGTCTCAAGACTTAGACAGTGAGTGGGAAAATGCAAGCGTTGATGCCTGTTTCCTGGAAGCTGCCGAAGATGTGGAACTCGCCGAAGCTGCAAATGATAGTCTGAATTATGCCATGGAAGAAATCCCAGATGAAGCTCTTTTGGAAGCTTTAAGGAAAGAAGACTCTTGCAATAAAGAAGGCAGCTAACCACTGGCTTGGCCAGCACACAGACTGCCAGCACTGACAGCTGCAGTGTGCTGTGTGCCCCTGGAAAGAGACTGCGACGTAGTTCGAAAGCACTATACCAAAGAGCAGATTAGCTGGATGATCTTGAACAGGCACGAGGAGATCACTGAAGATTATATGGGGTCTGAAAAGTGCTGGATTGAAACACTCATCGTGAATGCTCCTCCAAGCTTAGCACTTTTAATGCTCTCTGCTGTACAGTTTCCGTTTTGCTAGTTGTAGGTCCGAGTTTTATTGATAAGCCAAGTTAAACAGACTTCTTTAGTTCCAGAAATGGGATGAAATTATTTATTTAAAAAAAAAAAATTAATAAAAAGATTTGTCTATAAATAGATCAGCCAAAGTCTCTGTGTTCTCTTTAAAAGTATATGTTGCTGTCAAGATCGCATTACTTTAACAGCACAAGATGAAAACCCAACATTGTTCACAAGCACAGAAAAGTTTTATTACTTGAAGTGGGATTGCTATTTCAATCATTTCACTGACACTGAGACTATTTGACAATAGAAAGATAATCTCGATCAAGTCATTGACTTTCAAACATTGAAACAAAATAGAGCAACAGTGATTAATCACGCTTTAAGCACTACCGTTCTAATAATTGTTTTTAAAAAAATGTCAGAAAACACTTAGTCTTTCTTTGATAACCTCTCTCTTTGTACAGCCAGAGCCTCTTCCAGTTTCGTATTAATATTCTGAAAGTGTCTTTCTGCTCCTAGAATTCTCCGTGACTCCATCAGAAGAGCAGGGAGGCTGGAAGCTCCATACTGTTGATACAGAAATAAAATTTCAAGGCAACATTTTTAACTCTTGGAAAGATCACTTACTTATCTGTAGTTATTTTTCCTCTATCTGGATTGGCACAACATGATTTTTAAAAGTGAAGAACAGCCAAAATTAATAAGAGTGTCTTCTGAAATGCGAGGATTTCCCTTATGCATGGCAGGCATGTAGCCTTGTCAACAGAAAATACCACACCAGGTCCTGGTAAAATGGGAAGGAGTTCTAAGGCTCCATGAGAAGTTACTCTGGCCATGAAATATAAGCACTGTTCTAGGCATTAAATATCTTACAGAACAGACATGGAAGTACCAGAGCTTTCCCTTTCTTTGAACAATAACAACCAAAGAAATTAATTATTTGTTTCTCAGTGTTAATCTTTCTTCAGTTTCTATAAAAAAGTTACAACTGAGGACAACTGTTAGACTTTTATGTCCTTTGAACTCCTGGAAATAGAGAGCAAGGCAGCAGAATCCTCTCTGAAATACTTTAGCTTTTAACATGAGAGCAAAAAAGTGAGATACCACAGTACCGTTACAGCAGTGATGCTCAAGTTGCTTCCACGAGGACAATTAACAAAATGTTCCTATTTAATATAACTTAAACATGAATAAAAGTGCCCAACAGTCCAGAAAAGAAAAAATGGGAGGGGAGGGTTGTGACCCATAACTGTTCAGGAAAATGCAAAATATATGTACTTACTACCACTTTTTCTTTTGGGTTTTCTTCTCTATAATCCAAGCAGTCTTGCTGTAGCTCCTTTAAATCAGTAAGTAATTCAATTGTTTCCCTCAAGGAAGATTTCCTTTCCATTATCTCAGCATATTCTCTTTGTAGTTGTGTCATTTGAGGTTCAGCTCTGAAAAGGGATCAAGGCTTTGATGCTTGTATCTGCGTGTTTATTGCACGAATAACTATGAACATATTTCCTCTGAACTTGCAAGAATGACTATCTAGGCAACTGATATATATAAAGGAGAGGTCATCACGAGCTTTTGTAAAAACAAAAAGGAAGACAGCAGTGATTTCATCAAATAAAACAAAAAAAAACAAAGTTATTTTCCATTCTGAGCTACAAAACACAGATTCCTTAAGCTCTTCAGGCTATTACTGTGCATGGTTGGAAACATACCCAATTAGCTCTTCTTGGAGCTGCACCAGTCGCTGCCTTTTCTTTTTCATGCTTGTTAATGCCTGAAACAAATAGTGAGCAAAGTCTTTGAAAGAGTTTCTGTAGTTTCAAAGGCAAATAACTCATGTTTGATTGGCTTTTATTCTCTGGGATTTTATGCTTCTGATTTTCATGGAAGATTCCAAGATACCAGACCTTATAAACTGCCATATTTTACATTTGTGTTTTAAACACTTTAAAGCTGTTTGTTTAAAATGTCAAACTTTTATCTCCATTCAAAATTTCTCTAAAGGAACACTGGGTTTACAAGCATACAAAAGGAGTTTGTGACATTTTGAACACAAACGTGACCAACTCTAGGAGGTCTGTGTTTTAAAAATGAAAACTAATATGAATCTGTGTTCAGTACGATTGCCATAACTAAGCTTTCCTTAATATTACATCCAATTAAAAACAAACAAAAAAAAAGCAACATCCAAAACTGATCCTAAAATAAAATTTAGCAACTAAAAATCTGATTTTAAACAAATGTATATGAGTCAAGCTATGGATAAATGTGAGTGACTGTGAATTCAATATGTGTATTAAAATTTTCATTTTACATGCTGAGTAGCTTGCCATATCACCTCAAATCAACAAGACTTTAGCATATTAATTGCTACATCCCAGAATAAGCCTCATGTTGACCTTATTTGTTGAAAGCTATTTTGTCCTTGAAAAGTTTGCAGAAGATGTTAATCTGGGCAGAAGGCCAGACAGTGCCTAAGCCTCTCTTAAATCTCTCTGCTCTAGGGCATTCACCTCTCCCTGGTAAAACCACTGCAATGTTTTTCTGCTCTTACACTACTTTCAGTAAATTACTACTCGTTCTGGATGAACAGAGGAACTGCCTTCTTCTGAACAAAAAATCTGCATATATTTAGGGAATGCAGTTCCCATAGACTTCTTTAACCTAAGAAATCCAATTCTACCTTTACAGGTCACCATCTTTGCTGCTCTCCTAGAATTTTATATTCATTTGTGTTTCTTGAAGGTTAGCTCTCCATAATTAATTAGCTCTCCAGAGGCCTCACAAGTATTCATTAAAAAAACACAAAACACCAAACTCCAAAAAACCAAAAGAGTAATTCACATGCATAGACATCTACACATCCTAATGTGCATTCTTTCTTTTTACACCCTATATCAGTATATGTATGGAGTTTGCATTCCATCATATTTACTCAGATCTTTTCCAAAAATACTCTGGTGGTTCCCTATCCCCTATTTGTGCAGTTGATTCTGTAGTACAGTACACCTTTTTGTCAGTTATTTTATTTCTTTCAGTCAACTTCTTGAAATGTCAATGCCCACTCCTGTATGCCATGCAATCTAGTGATATATCTGTATTTACCTTAGCATTTTTTCTCTTCATATTCTTTAATTCCTGGACTCCCGCTATCTACAGAGGAAAAGAAGAATTACAGATTGACAGACTATGGATCTTGAGTTCATCACTATCCTCCCAAAACCATGGCTGCAGGAATTACATTGGAATAACATAAAGAGCTATTTAAAAAACTAACACTGTTTCAAAGTGAGATTACAAGTGTATCACTTGTGTATCGAGTCTTTCTTCTCTGCTCATGCCAGAAAAAGACTGTTGCACAAATTAGTTAGTGAAACTAATACTCCTTGTACCAATTAGCGTAATATTACCTAGCTTAATTTTTCTATAACTGTATATATATGTATAAATCTAGTCTTTTTAAAACTTATTCCTTCTCATGAAACACTTAGAACTATAGTTTTAGTACTTATCCGCTGTACTTATCACACCTCCTACAGAGTTCTGAGTTCACTTTAATGGTTCCAATTAGTGAGAAGAAATCTTAGTCTTCCAAACCAGTAAGCTTGTTACAGAATCCCAGAATGGGTCAGGCTGGAAGGGACCACGGTGGGTCATCCGGTCCAACCTCCCTGCTCAAGCAGGGTCATCCCAGAGCACATTGCACAGGACCGTGTCCAGACTGTTCTTGAATTTCATCTTACAGTTATGTTCAAACTGCTCATTAAAAAAGGATGATTTTCCCTGGACTATGTTTGAGGCCTTACTCAGGGCTCAACAAACAAGAGTCACTGAGACACGTAATAAAAAGTAAAATCATTGGCCTTTTAAAACTCTAGTCCATGAGGTTTTAAAACAGTGTTTAACACAGCTGTTATGCTCATTCAAATTATGCAGCCCTCTAGTTTTCCTGCATAATGATTTAGATACGACAAACACTTCAGGATTATTGGATGCTTCCCTATTCTCAAAAGCTGACAATTTCGCAAAGTACCTGCATGACAGCAGTGTTGTGTCTAGAGGCAATTCTAAGGAAAGCCTGCACAGGGGCAGCAAATCATAACCTGCACACAACAGACTCTGGTTTTGTGTTATTTATACTGACAATAGAGTGGAAAAAACTTACATACTGTAAAATAAGTGTGTAATGGACAATATAAAACCACAGGCATTTCTGACCACAAAACTTATTTTGTTTCTAGTGGACTTACAAGATCGGTGATTTGGCCCTTGAAAGCAGAACAGAAGTCATCGATAGCCTTTCTGCAAATGTTTGATTCTATGCTTTGTCTGGAGAAGTCAGAGGGACAAAACACAAGCCACTTAGTTTAGTAAAGGGGAAATCTCATCCAAAAACATTCCTTTAAGTAATGAATAAAACCTAGTGTTAAGCAGCTAGGCAACTGCAGATCTTTCATATACTAGCAATAGCTTAATTTCTACCTTGAAAAATGTCAGCTGAGAAGTCTGAAAAAAATATCAAATCCCTGGAGACCACGTCAAGATCACATACGAAAAAACATTTGTATCACAGAAACTGAACAATCATTAAAATAACATCAGAATGTAACCATGCAATACTGCATTCCCTAAAGGACAGCCCACTAGCAAAACCACAGGTAATTCTTTTTAAAACTTTGAATATTCAATCACAGGAAAGCAGAATATTTACCTGTAATTTGCTGCAATCTTCTCAACTTCAGCCAGAACAACATCCAGTTCTGTAATATCTCTAGGAGATCTCTTCAGCTCTTTGGGACACCAAACCTGTACAGAATGTGGGCTATCCACTGAAACAACAGAATAAACATAAGCCTTGCACAACTCAGGTACATGTTTTAAAGCAATAGAAAAATTATTGTTCCCATCATCAAAATAACCATCTAAAAGTTATAAATATTTTAATGTTAAATT